GCTGGCCGCTCGGAGCTTTCGCCCTCCCCAGCCTCTGTGGCTGACTCCACACCTGTTACGCAGCGGAAACCCGTGTCCCAGGCAATAAAGCTACATCCAGTCTACAATGTAGATTATAAGTGCTTTCATTTTGGAGGAAAGTTGCTTATTTCCTATCAAATTGCTGCAAAATTAAGTTTCTCCTTTGTGCTCCCCACCCTGAGACCATCTCCATCAGCAAGTGAACTTCTTACAACCCCACAAGTACGGAAGGAGGTCGATTACCTCAGGGAACACGCAAAACACTGACTTCTGCTAGAAGCAGCTTAAACCTTGCCATCCCTCCGCAGGTTCGGCAGGGCCCATACCTCCTGCAGTCCTGCCAGCCACGAACCCCCGTGGTTCCCAGCCTGGCCTGACCCCCGGCTCCAACAGCCACCCCTCCCGCACCCAGAAGGGCAGCTTTTCAGACCCCAAACACAGCGTGCATCTCCAACAGCACTAGAAAAGGGGGGAAAAAACACAAAAAGCAAAACAGAAAGCATTTCTAGGCAGTGACTGACACTCTTCCAGTGCTTAGAGGGTAGTCTTTTGAACGCAGAACTATACATGTCAGTCATTTTAGGAGGAAAATGTCAGATATTTGTCTAGCAGAGTGAAAACTAAGTTTGCATTTACAGCTACTCTATGACAGAAGGTGGCAGAGTCATTACAGCTACTTCACCTATCCCCTGCCAGTCCTGCCAGCTTGCTGTTTATGAGAGCAATTCATTCTCTCCTCCATGCAGGAAAATGCCTGGACATTTATCATCTTTCCCCTGGTGTGTGACAGGTTACACTATGCTAGAGCATTGGGAAGAACAAAATACAATTTTTCCAGTCCTTGCTCTAGTCACATCAGAGGCTGCGCTTGCAATAGGAAGGAGAAAGTTTAGACAGAATCATTGCTTGTACACAGCTGGCATCCATTTAAACCTGCAGGAGGAGTGCCAATGGTACGTCTCGAGAGCTCCATTACCTGGAAGTGGCACCACGTTGTCCAGTAAAACTTCTGCTCCTTGGAAAGGTAGTGATAAAAAATCAGACCTTAAAGAAGAGAGAATCAATCAGAGTAAGAACATGGCTTTAAGTTACTCTTGTACTCTTTAAGGTGACATTGATTAATCAATTGCTCTAACAGGAATTCAGTTTAAAATGGATGACAGTCCAAAAAAAAAAAAAATCAGACCATTCTCCCACCAATCTAAGCAGCAGCAAGAAATTGTCTGATTAGCATGCCAAGTTGGATTGGGCTCCAAGCAAAAACTAACTCCATAATGGGGGCTGTACTGCTTTTCTGCCACCTCTGGGGCACAATCAAGTATGTAATGGGCTTGTGTAAGGAAACCCTCATTCAATACATCTCTCCCAGCCAGTGGGGCTGGGACGTAGAGAATCTGAATCTTATTCCTAGCTCATCAATTAACTACACTTTGGGGCCTCCTGAAGGCATCCTTTTGTCAGCTTCCATGCTGAAGTGGCAGAAGTTGCCATTTCCTTCCCCCTCCCCTTCAAAAAAGCATTGCAAGAGCTTGCTGTGCTCCCAAGGAATCCACACCCACTGCTGAGACAAACCTTTCTATTTTGAGAGACAGACAAATGAGACAAACCGTTTCCCACTTCAGCTGTGGAAAAACCTATAAGCAATTCAAACGCTACGGATGCCTCTGATGAAGATTCAGGCCAGATATAGCCTCAGGCCATGGAAGGGGAGCTAGAGACCTGATTTGTCTGAGTGTGTCGATCTTCACTTTGTCATATCCTCCGTAGTCCACGTATCGGAGCTCCACTTCACTGGTCTCTTCGAAGTAGCTAATAACTTGAGCCCGTAACCATGCCCCATCCACGCCCGGAGCAGCGCAGATAATACCAACTGCAAAACATAAAAGCGCAGAGAAAAAAGGCTCAGTATAAGTGGATTTCCAGGAATCAGCACTTCAGGCGCTAGTAGTGCTGCACAGCTATCCACTGAGAATCAACAGCATTTCTTATGCTGCTTCCACCTTCTTCCAATCATCACCTTGCCTGCAGCCGGGACACAGGAGAGCTGGGTTTGGCTCCCAAGTCTCCATCTGGCACTACCACACTGTTCTACCCAGGTATCCAAATCCCTTCCAGCCTTTGCTCACTAACAGCGAGGTCTGTCTCCAAAAAGGAAAGTAAGCACAAATCACCCTTCCCATGCGATGCACCCTCCACTTTACGCCATGTGCAGACAGCGACACTATGAAGATGTGGGAGTAGTTCCACACTTTGTCAGCAAAAATACATCAGATGCCAGGCTGGTTAGAAATTACCCGAGACAGACTGTATCGCATTCTGAATTTCAACATGCAACTACGTGGCTGGGGAGGTATTCCAGGGATCAGTGGGGTAAGGAAGAGTAGAGCAACATCTGTACTCTTGCAGCAGCTTAACGAAGATGAAATGACAAGCGGACTATCGCATACTCATCCACTGGGAAACTTCCCAAGCCTAACGTGGGGGCGTCAGGCTTTTGCATGATCCTAGAAGAAGTTTCTCAGTTGAACAATTTGTGAGCAGCCAAGTTACTTGCCTTCTACTGGAGTTGGCAGGGTGGGAATTTCAGGCTGAGAATAGCAGGCGTACATCTGCTGGTCCAGGCTACGCAGGACATGGAAAGTGGGGTGTGTGTGCTGCTGTAGAAACATGTGCCCTGCATCGACTTGGTTTGCCACGACCACTTCTACAGTGACTCCATCTGGGAGGAACAGCTGTCATGTGCAGAAAAGAAATTCTCTTTAGTGTTCATTACAACACAAGCTTCATTCACAGCAGCTCCATGCTCCAGCAGCAACTCCTGAGGCTCACAGCCGTGGGTGGAAAAGCCCTGGCACTCTGCTGTTTCACTTCCAAAGGCTGCCTTGGATCAGGAGCAGAAAGCTACTCACTGTTACTCCATGCTGTTCTAAAGGAAATCAGACTTGGGGTGGGGCCCATCTTGTGCACAAAAGACGATCGATCAGCGCAGAGCTGCTGTAGGACTTATTTACACAAGAGCTCAGTGAGCAGAGTCACAAATGATGCGGCTCAAGTCGTGCTGCACTACCAACACAGTGCAACTTGCAAGGATTCCCCGCCCACAGGGGTTTTATACATCCAGGTCACCTTTGCAGGGATTGTCCAAGATTTGTCAGAGGTCTCATTTTAAAAGTAATTTGCCTTGGCTACTAGAGAGCCTTTGTGCTGGGCAGCTTCTGAGCATTCCTGTGCTCAGAATGCTTCTAAGATGCCTTTAATTTCCCAGCATAGATTCACTTCTCCACAACAAAGCCTGTCTTCACATCCATGGAGACAGTTACGTGCACAGTTCCTTTATAGGTTCTAGATGCCCAACGTAGGCAGAGAAATGTTTTTAAGTATCCATATAGCAAAAGAAGCATGGAAATTCTTTTGGGAAACACTAACATGAAAACCTCCTTTAAGTATATTTAAATACCATAAGAAAGTAAAACATTTTGAGAGGACCAGCTTCAGGATTTAGGGACAATACCAGTACTGGCAACAGATCAGCGTGGCATTTGGACCTCACAGCAAGCAGCCCTTAAGCAGACAATCAGCTCTGCTCCAGACTGCAGCGTTATCTGCTTAGGCAAACATCTAGTCTGTAGGTAAAAGCCTACCGGGCCAGATATGCAACTCCATGAGGTCAACCAGAGTCTGGTGAAACATTCTGCTACTTGTCCAAGGGCAATCAAGAGAGACTTCAGGGCCTTGGGACAACTAGTTAAGGGATGAGGAGCATAAGTAGTGTTCTCCTCTATCCTTCTAGTTGCAGGGAATGACGAGGGAAGGAGCAGGAAGAGCCAGCAGATCAATACCTGGCTCTGAGCCCGGTGTCACCCAGCGAAGTTTGGGATTTTTTGATCGTGGGTTGGTCTACACAACCCCAGGCCTGCTGGTGGCAGATGGGGTACACGTGCCTCGAAGGGAGAAAAAGGATCTTTGCACACGAGTTAGCAGTGCTCATTGAAAGAGCTTTAAACTAGATTTGAAGAGGGAAAGGCATAAAATCAGGCTTGCTAGAGATAAGCCTGGGGGCAGCATGCCAACGTTTGAGGGACAGTGTGCTAGAGAGGTCCTTCGGTCTGTCGTCTCAGCGGAGGTAGGGAATGGAGATCCACTCGGCAGCAAAGACACAAGAGTTATATTGATGTGTTAGAAACCACAGAAGCACCCAAGAACGGTCACATTGGAATTAGGGCTTTTCCCCAAAAAAAGTCGGTAGGGTCAGCAACGTAGGCAGAGAAATGTTTTTAAGTATCCATATAGCAAAAGAAGCATGGAAATTCTTTTGGGAAACACTAACATGAAAACCTCCTTTAAGTATATTTAAATACCATAAGAAAGTAAAACATTTTGAGAGGACCAGCTTCAGGATTTAGGGACAATACCAGTACTGGCAACAGATCAGCGTGGCATTTGGACCTCACAGCAAGCAGCCCTTAAGCAGACAATCAGCTCTGCTCCAGACTGCAGCGTTATCTGCTTAGGCAAACATCTAGTCTGTAGGTAAAAGCCTACCGGGCCAGATATGCAACTCCATGAGGTCAACCAGAGTCTGGTGAAACATTCTGCTACTTGTCCAAGGGCAATCAAGAGAGACTTCAGGGCCTTGGGACAACTAGTTAAGGGATGAGGAGCATAAGTAGTGTTCTCCTCTATCCTTCTAGTTGCAGGGAATGACGAGGGAAGGAGCAGGAAGAGCCAGCAGATCAATACCTGGCTCTGAGCCCGGTGTCACCCAGCGAAGTTTGGGATTTTTTGATCGTGGGTTGGTCTACACAACCCCAGGCCTGCTGGTGGCAGATGGGGTACACGTGCCTCGAAGGGAGAAAAAGGATCTTTGCACACGAGTTAGCAGTGCTCATTGAAAGAGCTTTAAACTAGATTTGAAGAGGGAAAGGCATAAAATCAGGCTTGCTAGAGATAAGCCTGGGGGCAGCATGCCAACGTTTGAGGGACAGTGTGCTAGAGAGGTCCTTCGGTCTGTCGTCTCAGCGGAGGTAGGGAATGGAGATCCACTCGGCAGCAAAGACACAAGAGTTATATTGATGTGTTAGAAACCACAGAAGCACCCAAGAACGGTCACATTGGAATTAGGGCTTTTCCCCAAAAAAAGTCGGTAGGGTCAGCAGCCCAACTGAAGTGCCTCTACACCAATGCGTGCAGCATGGGCAACAAACAGGAGGAGCTGGAAGTTGTTGTGCAGCTGGGAAACTATGCTATAGTTGCCATCACAGAAACATGGTGGGACAACTCACACAACTGGAGTGCTGCAATGGATGGCTATAAACTCTTCAGAAGGGGTAGCCAAGGAAGGAGAGGCAATGGGGTAACCCTGTATGTTAGGGAGTGTTCTGACTTCCTAGAGCTTGCTGATATAAATAGATTAACAACAAAAGGAGGGCCAAGCACAATCTAGGCACAATCTCCACCCTTTATTGGATGCTGGGAAAAACATAGTGATGAAGGATGAGGAAAAGGCTGAGGTACTTAATGTCTTTTTGTCTGTCTTTAATAGTAAGACCAGTTGTTCTCAGGCTACCCAGCCCTCTAAGCTGGAAGATGGGGATGGGAAGCAAAATGAAGCCCCCATAATCCAAAGGGAAATGGTTAGAGACCTGCTACACCACTTAGACATACACAAGTCCATGGGACCGGATGGGATGGGATCCCCCCAAGGGTACTGAGGGAGCTGGCAGAAGTGCTTACCAAGCTACTTTCAATCATATATCAGCAGTCCCGGCTACCTGGGGAGGTCCCAGTTGACTGGAGGTTAGCAAATGTGATGCCCATTTACAAGAAGGGCTAGAAGGAGGATCTGGGGAACTGCAGGCCTGTCAGTCTGACCTCGGTACCGGGGAAGGTAGGTTGTAGCGAGGTGGCTGTCAGTCTCTTTTCCCAAGTAAAAAGTGGTAGGATAAGAGGAAACGGCCTCAAGTTGCACCAGGGGAGGTTTAGATTGGATATTAGGAAAAATTTCTTCACCAAAAGGGTTATCAAGCACTGGGATAGGCTGCCCTGGTCGAGTCACCATCCCTGGAGATATTTAAAAGACATGTAGATGCGGTGCTTAGGGACATGGTTTAGAGGTGGACTTGGCAGTGTTAGGTTTACAGTTGGATTCAATGACCTTAAAGGTCTTCTCCAACCTAAGTGATTCTATGATTCTACATTTCTGAGCTCAGGCAGAACAGAGACAGCAGTGGAAGAACAGGTAGATAAATCTGACCTGTAACAGTTACACAAGCTGGACAACAGGCAGCCACACAAAACCAAACTGTTTTTGAGGGCATCTGTGAACCAGCCACGTGGATATAGCATACTACGATGGCAGTGACCAACAACAGCCTTCCACCCTGACATCAGCGTAGCCAGCAAGCTGGGACTTACCCAGGCAGTCATAAGGAGGGAATGAAGCGTCAATGGTGTTGGTGGAGGTAGAGCGTAGATGTTGGTGAGACACAGCTCTTTGAACTTCTTGCCAATCAGGCTTAGTACTTTTTCTACTTGATGTGGGGAGCCTCGAAGACAAAAATCCCACAGAAAGTCTGTAGCACAGATATGCTGAGGACACCCCCACCCCCACCATGTGAAGCAATATAGTTACCGGAAGCCTTCTGAACTATGTCTACAACTTAAGTTTTAAGAGATTGGCCATCTAAGCTGACATCAGACCAACATGAGCAACTCACACCGCCAGGCCCCAGTTTCAACAGCTTTAGCCTCCAGAATGAACCCAATTCACTGGCAGATATTTTTCAGTCACAATTAACCTAACATCCTTCATAGCCAAGACTGCATTTGCCGATACACATCCCATAGCTCCTCCTTCAAGCCTGAAGTGATCCTGTAAAAGGTGTTGGTTAACCTACAGCAGCCAAAGATGTTAAAATGCATTTGCACCTTAGAATAGAGGGTTCATCTGCCAAGGCACAGGTGACTTGGCATATACCTCCATGGTAACAGCACCGAGCAGAAAAGTTTTGTAAATCACTGGACTCATGAAGCCACTAAATCTGTTTAAATTCCTTGCCCATCTAATTGAGGCCCCCAAGCTACATCTTAGACCATGAATAAAGAAACATTTCACTTACCTTCGATGTGACAGACTTGGGAGTCACGGAAATAAGGTAGTGTCGAGACATAAATTTTGGCACCAGATGCTTGCCTCAAGAAGCTCATGTATCTTCCTTGTTTGCCGATCAAGCGGCCAACTAGTTCCTTCATGAAAGAGACAAGAAAGTAACAGGAGGAGAAGCATAGATCAAACCACACCATTCTCTGGGGCTTATTTCACCCGCATTCCCAGTTCCTGTAGCGCAGGCTCAGGCAGAATATCTCTAAGGCAGTGCTGGACCAGCACAGATTTCAGCTGGTCTGTGATAAGTCAAAGTAGATACAGATCAGTAAGCACAGCTCATTTTGATAGATCCATCTTCCTATCTTCTAGAATGACACAGAGACACGATAGGACAAAACCAGGCCTGGTAAAGGCTACTGTCTTCCTACAGTCTAACAAAGTCACATCCTCTCCCCATCTCCCACCTTGTGTTGTTTTTTTTGTTTTTTTTTTTTTTTTTTTAAAAAGCATGCCACCTGCATTTTTCATTCAGATATGAAATACTAAGTTTTAGCAATTTTTAAACAAACTAACTAGATTAGAAAGGGAGTAGACAAATTCACAAGAGAGTAAACCAGGCTATCATGCCTGTTAGACTAGAGAGTCCCTGGCCAGCTGTGCAGGGTGATGAAGAGGTGGCTGTGCAAGCTCTGTCACTTCTACTCTTCCACTGGCACCTGCCACCACTTAGTGTCAGAGACCAAACACCAGAGCAGAAGTGTTGGGCCCAAGTCAGTATGGATAATCCTGTACAATGTAAAGTTAGCTACTTTCAGATGAGTGGCAGCCTGCCTTCACTAACCACTGAAACCTACTGTTCTGCTGCAGAGCTGCTTCCTTAGCCTGTGTTTTCCCGATCCACTAAAAGGCATGTTACACGTCTTCACTGGGCTCACAGCATCCAAACACCCACGGCAGCATGCTTATCCCGCCAGGAGCTCCTGTCTCACGTTACTGGCTGTCAGTATTCGGGTCTGCTGAGAAGCAGAACTGCAAGAGCAACGCTGTGCAGGACAGCCACAGGTGACTTTGAATATACAAAGCAGGGAAGAAGGTATGAACATAGTCCTAAAAAAACCACAATCTCTCAACCCAAAAGAAAGTTCACTATAAAAACAGAGACACAGCATCTCCACAGAATAATTCAAGACTGAAGGCAGCCTGTGCTGCAGTGATCCTGCACTGGTGGAGTTCCCAGTCCTGAGGGATATGGGGCAGGCAAAGAGTAAAGTCAGGGCCCTGAATTTTAGGAACACAAAATTCCAGCTCTTCAGGGAGTTAGTCAGTAGGACCCCCGGGAAACTGCCCTCAAGGACAAGGGAACAGAATGGAGCTGGCAGATCTTTAAGGATGCTTTCCATAGAGCACAAGAGCTCTCAATCCCCAGGTGTAAGAAATCAGGAAAGGAAAGCAAAAGACCAGGACAGCTGAGTGGAGACCTGCTGGGCAAACTGAAGGGCAGGAAAGAAATGCACAGGCAGGGGAAGCAGGGACTGGGATAAGTACAGGGACACTGCCCGGTTGTGTAGGGATGAGGTCAGGAAGGCCAAGGCATGACTGGAGCTGAACTTGGCAAGGGATGCAAAGAATGATAAGAAGGTCTTCTATAGGTATGTCAGCTAGAAAAGGAAGGTCAAAGAAAGCGTAACCCCTTGGTGAGTAAGACTGGCAAACTGGTAGCAACGGATGAGGAGAAGGCTGAGGTACTCAATGACTTCTTTGCCTCAGTCTTCACTGGCAATGTCTCTTCCCACACCTCTCGAGGGGATGGCCTGCAAGACAGGGACTGGAGGAGCAAAGTTCTTCCCACTGTAAGAGAAGATCAGGTTTGAGACCACTTGAGGAATTTAAACATGCCCAAGTCTATGGGAACTGATGAGATGTATCCCAGAGTCCTGAGGGAATTGGTTGATGTAGTTGCCAAGCCACTCTCCATGATACTTGAAAAGTCCTGGCACCCAGGTGAAGTCCCTGGAGACTGGAAAAAGGGTAACATTGCACCCATTTTTAAAAAAGGTAGCAAGTAGGACCCTTGGAACTACCCACCCAGCCACCTCACGTCTGTGCCTGGGAAGATCATGGAACAGATCCTCCTAGAAACTATGATAAGGCACATGGAGGACAGGGAGGTGATTTGAGACAGCCAGCATGGCTTCACCAAGGGCAAGTCCTGCCTGACCACCCTAGTGGCTCTCCATGATGGAGTGACAACACCAGTGGATAAGGGAAGAGCTACTGATGGTGTCGATCTGGACTTCTGTAAGGCCTTTGAGACGGTCCCCCACAAACATTCTTCTCTTTAAATTGGAGAGATGGTATTTGACGGGTGGACTGTTCGGTGGATGAGGAATTGGTTGGATGGTCGTATCCAGAGGGTAATGGTCAACGGCTCAATGTCCAGATGGAGATCGGTGACAAGTGGTGTCCCTCAGGGGTCCGTACTGGGACTGAGTACTCTTTAATATTGTTATCAATGACAGTGGAATCGAGGGCACCCCCAGCAAGTTTGCAGACAACACCAAGCTGAGTGGAGCAGTTGACACACCTGAGGGATGGCATGCCACCCAGAGGGATCTGGACAAGCTTGAGGAATGGGCCCATGTGAACCTCATGAGGTTCACACAAGGCCAAGTGCAGGGTCCTGCACCTGGGTCGTGGCACCCCCTGGTATCAGCACAGGCTGGGGGACGAAGGGATGGAGAGCAGCCCTGCCAAGAAGGACTTGGGGGTACTAGTTGATGAAAAGTTGGACATAACCCCTCCTGCAGTGCTGCATCCAGCTCTGGAGCCCTCAGCACAGGAGAGACATGGACCTGTTGGAGCGGGGCCAGAGGAGGCCGCAGAAATGATCAGAGGGCTGGAACAGCTCTCCTATGAAGAAAGGCTGAGAGTTGGGGCTGTTCAGTCTGGAGAAGAGAAGGCTCTGAGGAGACCTTATTGCAGCCTTCCAGTACTTAAAGGGGCTTCTAAGAAAGACGGGGACAGACTTTTTAGCAGGGCCTGTTGTGACAGGACAAGGGGTAATGGTTTTAAACTACAAGAGGGTAAATTTAGACTAGATAGAAGGAAGACAGGATAGTGAAACAGGAAAAAAGGACAGTGAAACCCTGGCCCAGGTTGCCCAGAGAGGTGGTAGATGCCCCATCCCTGGCAGGATTCAAGGTCAGGTTGGATGGGGCTCTGGGCAACCTGATCTGGTTGAAGATGTCCCTGCTCACTGCTGGGGGGTTGGACTAGATGATCTTAAAAGGTCCCTTCCAACCCAAACTATTCTATGATTCTATAATGGGGAATAATGGTCCAACAACCAGCATTACCCTAGGCGTAGCCCTGACATGCCTCTTGTTTACAGTTGCATACTGGCTTTTCACTCCTGTTGAGTCTTAATGGGAGCTAAATGCTTAAATCCTCGTTGATTTGTTGTTGCTCTGCCTGGGATGGCACTGAGCCAGTACCAGACTGGAAGAACCAGAAGATGGCTATGTAGGGCAGGGCAGGATGCACGAGTAGGCCAGCGGCTGGTTACCTTTGGGACCTCTATTTCCCAGATAATGAAGTCGGACTTGCTGGATTCTCCTCCTAGCTTAGAGCTCTGGCGAGTCACTGTCTTCCTCATGGCACAGCCACTGTCCACAAAATCCACGCTATTTACATGCGAACCTACAAGACATGCACACGTGTCAGCATTCAGGCAACCCACACAATCCAGCTACCAGACACAAGGCCATGGAAAATACATCATTTCATGAAGAGGTTACATTGAGCTCTTCCTATGCATTCAGTTGGGGTGCTCCTGTATCAGGTTCTCCAGTATTTCAGAAAGGGTAAAGTCCCATCACACATAGCCTATAAAAGTTTCCTTTTATTCCCAGAGAAAAACCTACACACCTCTGGAAATGCAACAGAAGGAGGCCTGAGCTCAGCAGGAGTCCTTCAAACATGGGGACACCTTACACAGCAGCAGAGATAAGACACGTTACCAGCTGAATGAGAGCTATGCTACCATCAACACTGAGCTGCTGCTGCAGCAAAGTGTTTTGCATTTTCCCCATAGCTTAAACAGGGCTCTTCACAGGGAGTTTAGCATGCAGGGAGGGACATGCAACCTATTCATCTGCTCTTTGCTCTGACATTACATTCCTGCCCCAACAGGACTTGCACAGTGACCTGAGTGCCAGCTGTGCACACTATTAGCTGTGGTAGGAGATTGCCTCTTGCCCAAATTTGTCATATGCTTGAAGAAACAAGGTGCCAGAGCAGAGCTATGTTTTGTTCCCAAACCATCAGCCAATACCAGGACCGTTTCTACTTGGGAAGGGGACAAACTCAAACAGCTTTCTCCTGCTCAGACCCTAAATAGTCAGTGTAACACAAGGTTGATCCTTCCCTCCAGATTAACAAGCAGAAGCATGACACTCCTCACTTGCTTGCAAGTATTCAGACCACCTAGAGCAAGACCAAAGAGAAAAAAAAAACCTCACCCAACAGCTGCTTCACATTTGCCACATCTTAACTAGTAACACAGCATAGATACCTCGAAAGTCAAAGGCAAACAGCACAGCTATTTGATGTAGACTTCCTAGACAAGAATGAGGATTTAAGTCTCACAGCCTGAGTGTGAAGGTCAGCTCTAGGGTCTCTTAACCAACTGAGCCATGTTATCAACTTCACCTGCTACATCCCCTCTCCATACCCTTCAGCTGTCTCAGTGCAGAGCTTTCAGCCCTTGTCATCACCAGGCTCCACAACACATTCTTGTACTTTCTTGTCACACCAGCATTCACAACAAAGCAAAACCACTTTCTTCCTCTGGTTACTCTCACTAGTGAAAATGTTTTATGGGTTTAATCCTTAATTGTTGGCTAACTCAATCCCCACATCTTGCAACAAGCAGTGTTCCATCTACGTTGCAGCAATTACAAAAGACATCCTATCATTAAGGGCTGTTGGCACCACAGGGTCCTATAAAGGATTTTAACATCCATTCCCAAGGTCACACAGGTTAACATTTGCTCAAGCAGCTTTGTATTCTGCCAGGCGCACATCATCCAGGATCTAGAACGCAAAAGCAACAGAGACAGATGGGGGAACTCTGTTGTCATTGCTCCCCGTTGGGATTTTTTGGCATGCACCTACCCTTCCAAGCAAAAAGGCTTCAAGGTAATTGGTCGGCAACCAACTGATTTTATCACAATTCATCAGAGCACCACTTCCCTGGTTTATCCAGCAGCACCTCAGAAACCTGCCTTACAGCTTCCTTTCAGCAGCAGCCCATAAACCCAGATAAGAACCCAGAGGCTGCCAGAACTGAAGCAGAAACCATTGGTATTAGCAAGTCTCAAATCAGCAAGGTGTTCAAACAGCCTGGCCGACACCCAGACACAGTCCATTTCAGTGGGCTACGCAAACATGTGCTTAGCTTTAGACAATGAGCTTTGTGCCAAAAAGGGACGAGCCTGTTCACCCCTCTGCAGTACACCCTGAAGATCACCCAGCTAGCACTCGATCCTACAGAGATGGGAATTCTGAGAGCAAATGTATACCCACCTGCACAGGGAGGGCTAAACATTCATGTACTGGGGAAGGGAAACATGAAGAGGATTTATCTGAACATATTCTGAAGCAGAAGGCTTACAGTACATAAAATGCTTGTTCATCACATTTTTGTAGGAGAATTTCCAAATCCCTTACCTCCTGAGTGATCTCCATCCATCCCTGCTGCCCTGCTACACTCATGATGCAAGTCTGGACCATCCTCTTCCAGTATCCCATTACTGTATGGCCCTTTGCTGTCTTCCAGTAGCTTCAGAGTAGGAAGTTTTTCACTTGGTACTGAGCTCTGCTCAGCAGACATGTCTTGGATCGCAGATAGGCTCCGTAAGTCCGAATGCTGGCCTGATGCAACAGACAGCATCGTGATCTGCAAAGGGTCCTCCACAACTGTCCCACTTTCAGATGCGTATGTGCTGCACCCAGAGTCCTCCGTAACCAAAGGCAAAGGCGACTTCTCCAGTGACCGTCCATGGTTTTCCATAGGAGTCCAATCAACTCCTTGGGACTCACTGCACACACGGTTCTTCACTGAACAGTCTTTTGTGTCTCCCTGAACAGGGCTGGATAAATGGATAAAAGTGGATGCATCACCAGAACCAGACAGCACTTCCTCAGTTGCTGCCAAAATGACCTTAGAAATGATCTCTTTTGCTACTTGCTCAATTTTCTCAACTTTTTCCTTGTCCAAACTCACTCCTCCAATCTTCTCTCTTTCCAATTCATCTCCTTTTATCTCTGTGTCCTCCTCCCGATGCACAGGTACACTGCTGGTAATTGACTCAGACATCTCTTCTTCCCTGGACGGCTCCAAACAGGCAGGCTCCAAACTATCCAGTAACACGCTCACTGCAGAATCATTGTGACTTGATACAACTTCATCTTCATTACTGAGAAAGGCTTGCGGGGTATTGGCTTCCTTCTCCAATCCCAAGCAAAGGGCTGTCACAGAGCCAGTATCCAACAGCACAATTTCTGGCCTCTGGCTTTCCTTAGGGGGCTTAAACGAAGAATCATCTGGCTGCTCTGCATTGCTGATCTCCGTGATTCCCAAAGACTCTTGCATCAGTGTCGCTGATGGCCACTGATCTTGGTTTGCACTAGAGCTTGAATCCTGCATAAGGCTCACGGCAGCACTGCCGTGACACTCTGTGCCCTTTGAGATCAGAGGGAGACAAACACAAGCAGGGACATTGCTTTCATCTTGAGATCCTATTGTTTCTAGCTTTTCACTGTCGTCCTCAGGGGTGCTGGGCTGAACTGTCATTACTGACAGGTCTGGAAGGTCCTGTGAGAGCTCTAGCCTCTCATGAGTTTGACACAGAAGAGAGGGCGTTGTCAACCCTGCTGACAGCAGGGAGGTCGAGGTTTCATTCTCTGGGCATTCCTCCTCCAGTGAGAGGCGCAGTCCTCCATGAACATATGCTTCTGTTTTGGGAGATGACTCATTCTCTGGCAATTCTTCCAGCTGCTCTTCTTCAATGGCTATTACTTGTTTGTCATGATAGCTTGCCTGCTTTTTTCTATGCGAATAGGTCCACCAGCAGCCAAGAAGCGCCAGCACTCCAGGTATGGCATATGGGATGACATTCCGGAAGCGTAAAGCCATTTTACAGAGTCTCAGCAATCATACTAGAAGGAGAAACAGAAACAATAATGAAATAGTCACAGGGAAGGTAAGAGGAAGGCTAAAGTTTCATGAATGCCTTGAGGTATTTCTGGCAGCATGAACAGGCTGGTTTTCCAGCCGTTCTTTAAATTCACATCTCTGCTCTGCCAGCAGACCACAGAATAAGATCCTTACCTCAGACTAGGGATAGCTGGACATTTCTCACCATCACACTCCTCAGTTTCACCTTACCTCACCTTTACACTTCAAGCAATTCCACCTTCTTTCTCCCGTCTCCCCTTTGCAGGGCAGCACTACAGACAAGGATAGTATCCAGCACTGCACGTTTCCCCAGCACCAGGCTGGCTTCACGACACAGCTCTACCACAAGCATTCCAAGACACAGACTTCACCCACTGCAGGTCTCCCCAGTTCTCCGCTGAAAAGGCAGCGTACGTTCCCCAGTGTTCCATAGGTTGACAACACGCTTTTCAAACAGAATTGCTCACTGCAGGTGAAGTGCTCTGCAGACTCTCTCATCTGCAGCATTGCAAGGGCACACGACTCAAGTCTGCACTTAAGTAGGAGCTAAACAGCAACACGCAGCTACTCCATTTGCTTTTACACACACAGTGTAGGACTCCCTAAACAAAGAAGAAAGAAGCAAGCGCCTCCCAATAACAAGTCATCCCTCTAGAAGATTTTGCAGTAGTGAAGATGGGAAATATGCTCTAACACCCTTATCATAACAGTATTTGTCTAGCAAAAGCAGCTTTTTTTTTTTTTTGATAGAGACACTACTACTTAGGAACCCAGCTCCAAAGTTTGTTCTACATCTAAATTTACTATGTTGACAGCTGCCACTCCTGTGACTTTCGAGACCTGAAAGCTGTCTTTTTTCCTCTAGAAAGTGTGTGATCCCTTCCCCACCTGGACACCACTGAGACCAGCCTCACCTGGGTTACACAAGGCAGGGCTGACATGCCTTTCCTTTTCCCTAAGGGAAGTCCACAGCTGGCACCCACGTCCCCAAAACAGTCTTGCTGCAAAGCACACACCTACAGTTTATATTTTCACTGGGCAGGAATTAAAGGAAAACACCACACATCTGACAACACTGCTTACGCACCACAGCCTTTTCTCCAAACGGGCCTTAAGACTTTTGCCAACGAGCAATAAAAATAAAGATTATTTTCAGGAGATAGCGAAGTCCTAGAAATGGGAACCACCCACTGGAAGAGAGTATTATCTAGTTCCTCTTCAGAAGCATAATATTTCTTAGACAAGAGAAGACAATCACATCAGTCAGTTGACTATGCTTAGTCTGTCTCAACCGGAAAAAAATTTTTATTATCAGAGCAAGCGTTCTGACCACAGCTTCCAAATACAACTCTCCTTCGGGGCCCCGACTTTCATGAGGAGCTGATTACATTCTTGCTGAGGGACAAAAACATGTCTCCCTCAGGCTCAAACCGAGCATCCAAGCCTCAGATAATGTAATATTCACTCCAGATTTCTCACCTCCTCCAGCCACACACCCTCCCATCCCACAGGAGCAAACACAGAACTTTATCCAAGGCAGCTCGGACACCAGCCTTGCTTCCATACCGTTTGCCACAGAGTCCTATTGACTGAGGCAAGTAAAGAAATGAATGTTAAAAAAAGGGACTAGAACATTTCTTGCTCAATCCCAAATCAAAGGTCAGCTGCAGACATGATTTAAGAAATCCCGTAGCATCCCCAGGATATCACAAATGAGGTATTTATGTTGTTCTACACAGGAAACTTGAGTCTGGGATCCTTGGACATTCATATCTGATATTTTCTAAATCCAAGTTACTTCCAGCTGGCTTTAGGCAGTCAGGTAGAATGGCTCACTGCTGAGAATGAACTTTTGGAAGAGATTTGGAATTGAAAAAAAAAAACCCCCAAACTTATGCAATAATGTGGATGTTTGGTTTTTGGAACTCAGTAAATGGAAAGGGTGAATGAAGCCTGTACATTCCCAAGACAAAAGGTTCACGTTTATGCTCTGCAGCACAGTGGCACATTGTGAGCCGCTGCGAGTGCTCATCTGCCGTCCACTTAAGTTGTTATAATTAATGCAGAACCACCCTACAAGCTGTCTCACAGGCGTACCACAAACTCAAATTAAAGTAGCTCACGAGTCCATTCCCAGCAAGCCTTCCCGATTAAACAGCCAGCCCTGTTATTATCCGATGCCCTATTACGTTGCACCAACTGCACAAACAATAGTCGCACACAGTTCTGCAGCGCAGGGAGAGAGTAGCAGGGACAGGCCTGTCCCAAAAAGCAGTTCTAAGAGTCATTTTAAACATTAATATCATTTAAGATAAAGAGCTTCACTCTTCTGTGATATTTAGATCGGGGTGACTGGTGGATTTGCTGACTGCTCCTGTGAAGCTCATTTAATTTCATGTTTTTAATTTGACTCGTTTTGGCGAGAGCTGCGTTACACTATCGGTGACCGTGTTAAATGGGAATTCCACATCCTTCCATCAAGCAGGAAGGGATAAGAGGCAGTGGCTCTGCACAATATGCCAGCAGGCAGCCTAAAGCACTGCCTTGGCTAGGGCACAGCTAACACCGACAAACATCCCCGTACGTAAACGTGACAGGAAGACTCTGGTGGCCTGATTGTGATATGCTGGTCACAACGTCGCTTTTTATGTCATGCCTAGAAGATGGCCGATTTTTAACCTGCTCAACCAAACGGTAGTAAGATGCAACGCATACTTCTCTCTCAGGTCCCCCACAGGACAGCTCCTAAAGCCCCCATCCACTTTCCAACAGGCTTAAGAGCGACAAAACCCTCTCTCCATTGCCAATTCGACAGCCAGTTCAGGACCGCAGGGGCAACGGGATCATTTAAACACAAGGGGGGGAAGAAAGCCTGGGATTTTCCTGCCAGCAGCAGAACAGAAAATGGCAACTGGTCAAATCACATGGCCTTAAACACTGCCAAACTGGCGGGAGCCCGGCCCCACAGTCCTCGCCCTCTCCAGGCAGGAGGAGCCAGCGGGGGAAGCCCAGCAGCTCCAGAGGCTTTGCAGCGGAGACCGTCAGCTTGTAAAGGCCAGAACCAGCGTGAAGCGCTGGACGCCCGAGTGCCGATTCCCAACA